TGCTTTCTGGAAAGATGTTCCAGGCTCACGTTTATACTTTCTGGGCCTGAAACCTGAAATCAATCACTTCTTGGAGAAATGCTGTTTCTTTTGTGGGCTACAGTAACTAGATATCAAGATATTGGGCACTCTCCACTGGGGTAACATTACATCACATATGTCATGAGAGGGCTTCCCCCTAAAAAACTCTATTTTCTACTTTTCTTTCCTCTTAAGAGTTTTAACTAGCATACATATATTATATACTTTATCTATACTAGACATGAGAGTTTCAAAATTACATTATCAATTGTACTATTAGCAATACATCTGTGACATGAGTTTGTTTTTGTTCTTTTGCCCACATACATACATTCTTATATGTAAAAGAACTGTTAAATACCATTTTCATACAGGGTCTAAAGAACTGTGCATGACTCTGACATTTCTGATCCTTGTAAAGCCTCTGATCCTAGCCTTTTCCAAGCTGGAAGAATCCTTGCTTTCTGTCTCCAGTGGCAGTTTTCTGTTCTTTAGTGGTACACGGAAAACAGAACAGCTGGGAATGCACATCCTGAGACTGGCAAGGCAATGCAGACTTGTGTGAACAAAGCAGGGATGCTTTGACTGGTGAGCACCTGCTGTGGTCAGCATCCATTGAAGGTTGTTTTTCCATCAACCTTAAGTGAATGATGCCCTGCAAGTTATCCAAGGATATGTTTTCAAGACACTGTACCCCCAAATAATCAGTAAGCACAAAAAGCCAGTAGCTTGCCCTACAGCAAATCTCCATCCAAACATTCAAAATACCTACTATGACTAAGGAGAGCAAAGAGCAATTATGACTGTGTACACATCTCTAGTTCATCTCCTCGGGCATTTGTTGAAGGAACAAAAAGTATGTGGGCAAACCTGGGGCTACGCTTAGTCAGGAAGGAATGCAACATGGACCAGCGGTCGCCAACCTTTCAGACCTCACGGACCACCAGTTGGCGACTGCTGACATGGACTGTATTAGTGTATTGTGCCCTGCAGCGAACTGGCACATTTCCCAAGGCAACTGCTATACTTTCATGCTAGCAGTTTAAATGTTTTCTTTGAAAGATAAGTAAAAGTGTAATAGTATACTCTGATAACAATTTGGAGTTTTAAACTTTTATTTACTACTGAGTTTCACTAAAATAAATACTAGGTTTAAAGAACTAGATATTTTAGATTGCTCTTTTTGAAGAATAAACATGACTAAATTTGAATGAGAATTTTAAAAAATATATTTGTATTGATTTCAGAGGAGAGACAGAAATATAAACATAAATTATGAAAAAGAATCATTCATCGGCTGTCTCCTGCATGCCCTCAACCTGCTTCGGGGTCTGTTGTGTGTACCCTGACTGGAATCAAACCCTGACCTCCTGGTTCATAGGACGACACTCAATCATTGAGCCACACTGACCAGCCTGAAAGAGACGGTTTTAAAAATCAGACACTAAAAGTAGATTTCAAAGGAAGTGGGAAGTCAGAACACCTATTTGAAGTATCACACTTAAATCAGTTTATATTTACTCTAGTTTTAACTTTAATAGCACATAGAATCATTGTGAAAATGAAATGAATGCACATAAAAATGGCACTGTATATACAACTTTTACCGTTTCTTTGTGAGAAACTAAAATTTAAGATAGCTCTCCCCCCCAAATATAACCTATGTTGCACAGAGAGATAAGACTAAAAGCAATCCTGAAAAAAAACAACTATCCATATGAGAAAGAAATCTATACTGGAGTTTATAATAAATATTTTCTCATCTAGAGGATTTGTGAAGAGTTGTTATTTGAGAGATTTTTACACAACTGTAAAGTTTATTTTAAATTCAAGGAAGAGCCTCTGGATTAATTTTAATAATCCACAATTAGAATAAGAGCAGTTGTCAAAAACTACACTGTATTTTAAACAAACTTCTACTATAAATTAAGGAAAAGCTCATCCTTTCTGGTTTGTCTTCCCTGTAAAGCTAGCTGCATACTGCTGCCCTCTGCAGCATTTCCATTTCTTGCAAATTGCCACTCCAGTCATCACAAATTGCCATCTCTGTAGATTATGACTCAATATGAGGGATATGTGTGTGTAAGTAGAGAAGAAAAGGGAAGATCCCCTCAAAACAAACAAACCAACCCCTAAGAAGGCACTAAGGCAGGGGTTGGCAAACTCATTAGTCAATAGGGCCAAATATCAACAGTACGATTGAAATTTCTTTTGAGAGCCAATTTTTAAAACTTAAACTTCTAATGCCAATTCTTCAAAATAGACTCGCCCAGGTCATGGTATTTTGTGGAAGAGCCACACTCAAGGAGCCAAAAAGCCGCATGTGACTCGTGAGCACAGTTTGCTGACCACAGCACTAAGGCAAAGCTGTTACAGACCAAAAGAGTTAGCCCACCTGAGAAGAGGGCCTTGTAGCAACAGACCCCAATCTCCCAGAGAAAGTTCTTTCCTGGCCTTTTTGTGTCACTGGTCTTTATCTTTTTTTTTTTTTTTTTTTTTTTTATAGCTAGTTTAATTGGAAAAAAGTTATATCCTAATCTCCAGGTAGGTTTGGGTAACAGTTCAGAAGTAACATGATAGATACTATGAGAAACACACCCACTTCATACACATTCCCCTTTTTTGTAGTTAATCCTCACTTGATATTTCCCATTGTTAATCCTCATTTGAGAATCTTTTTCTATTTATTTTTGGAGTGGAAGGGAAGGGAAGAGACACACATAGAGAGAGAAACATCGATGTGAGAGAGATCCATTAATTTGTTGCCCCCTCCACGCCCTGACAGGCTAGGGACTCAGCTTGAAACCAAGGTACGCGGGCCTTTGATGGCTATCGAATCCGCGACCCTTCAGACCGCAGACTGATGCTCTAACCATTGAGCAAAACTGGCTAGGGCCACATTCCTTTTGGTAAATATATTTTTTATTGATTTCAAAGAGGAGAGGGGGAGGGAGAGGGGGAGGGGGAGGGAGAAATGTCAATGAGAATCATTGATTAGCTGCCTCCTGCACGCCCCACCAGGGATTAAGCCCATAAGCCGGCAGGTGCCCTGACCCTCCTGGCTCATAGGTGGACACTCAACTAAAGAGCCACGCCACGGGACAGGCCACGTTCCTCTTTAAACATAAATGAAAATGGTCACACCACTTTTTATCACTCAAGACTAGAACTTGGAGACTGTCCTCTATCAAGCGAGATACAACCTACGTAATTAAAACATATCTGTCCTAACAAAATAGGTTTTAAATAAATACATCACCAATAGGTCCCGCCACAACTGAGTTTTTTATTACCACTTAGGTTTTTATTATAAAAGGCGGTGGTTCTCACACTTTGAGCGGACGACCACACTTTGAGAACCAACTGCTAGTACGATTGCTGCATTAAACCCCGTTACTCCCGCCTCCCGGCGCTGCTCGCCGAAGGAGGAACGCGCCATGAACACCCAAGAAACCTCAAGCAGGACGCCAACACCCAGTCCCCAAAGAACCCCACGACTGCCCCGCCCCGACTCCCATCCGGAACTGGAAAGACGAACCTGCGCTCAGCGCCGGGCGCAGCCCAGCGGCGTCATTTCCGCCCCAGTAAGCCCCGCCCACTCTGCGTCCCCAACGCAAGGAGGAGCGGGCTGCCTATTGGGCGCCGCGAGTCACGTGACTCGGGCGCCGCCTCGCGATGGTTCTTAAATCTCGCGAGATTTCACCCGCCTCTGTCTTTCCTCCTCCCAGTACCGGGCTCCCCTCCCCTCCCCCTTACCGCCGACCGAGTTCTTTTCCGAGTCGCCGCCTTGGTGTCGCCGGGGAGATCTTTCTTGCTGCCACTGTTGCCGTAGCCACCCCTGGGCTCCTTTGCCCCGACCCCTTCCCGCCGCCCCGGCCCCGACCCCGACCCCACACAAGGTAAGAAAGCTGGTGGGGAGGGAAGGAGTGGAGCCTTGCCGGGCCGCGGCCTCTCCCGAGTGGAAGGGAGGCCCGAGGCCGAGGAGCCGGCCGCGCCGGAGAGGCCTGGCCGCCGGCCACCGTGTCGGGAGCTCCGGCCTCCTCTTTCCACCCTGAGCGGCGCCGGCGGGGTCGGGGCCTCTGGGCCACGGCGGCGAACGAGGCTAAGCCGGGGAACCCGTCGGGTGGGGTTGGGACGCGGGAGGCTTCTGAAGGGCAAGCCGGGCCGTTTCCGGCGGCGCCTGTCTGGGTGTGTGGGGTCCCGGCCCCGCGGGCGGCCGCTCGGTTTCCCCGGAGCTGGTGTTGGAGTTACTCGAGGTCGGGGGCAGCCGGCCCGCTCGCTCCCCTGGGGAGCCCTCCCAGGTCCCAGCCTGGGGTCGGACGGCACCTGTGAGACGGAGAAGGGTCCCCTGAAGCCCCGGGCGTGTGCTTTCACACCGGGAAAGGATGTCCTCGTATCTTATTTTCAAGAGGATGTATATAATAATACTTTTAAATGAACCAAGCACAGTGCTTTTCCTTATTACAGGCGTTTAAAGAACATTGGGATTTCTCTTGTTCCCTCATTAGCTTTTCTCTGAACTAAGAGTAGAGATGATGGTGATAAACTAAGCTGCAATGAGTTGGGAGCAAAAATTTTAAGGTTAATTCAGGAGATGGAATTAAAAAAAAAAGTGTGGGCTTTTTTTGTTGTAGTCTTCATCTGAGGATATTTTTCTGTTTTTGTTTATATTCACCCGTGGGTGTTTTTCCATTATTATTATTATTATTATTATTATTATTATTATTATTATTATTTTTGAGAGAGTGGAAGGAACAGGGAGAGACAGAGAGAGAGGGAAACGTGGATGTGACAGAGACAAATCCATTGGTTGCCTTCCTCACCGGCTGGGGATCAGAGCCCACAACCTTGACTACAATCCAACCGGGAACCCCGTCTGTGGATGGAGGCTCTCCCCACTGAGCAAAACTGGGTAGGGCAATGTTTGTGGGGTTTTTTGTTGTTCAGTTTTCATGGTCTTGCCCTTTTCCCCCCTCCAGATGTCAGAGGATCTAGCAAAACAGCTGGCAAGCTACAAAGCTCAGCTCCAGCAAGTTGAAGCTGCCCTGTCTGGAAATGGAGAAAATGAAGATTTGCTAAAATTAAAAAAAGATTTACAAGTAAGTATGAGGGGACACTTATAGCGACATTATTCAAAAAGAGTAGTTCTTTTTCAAATGATTTGTTGCTTAGAATCTATAGATGTCCAAGGCACCCCTCGGAGGTGGTGTTTACCCTTTCCCTTTGTGTATATTCGTGGCTTGTAAAAGGAGGGTTGTTGCCTCAGTTTGCTTGCGTACATCAAAATGAGTGAAACATTATCCTTGGTTATGTAAATCTTGTGTGCTCGTTTAATAATAATAACAAAAAGTTGGTTTTAGAAGTCTTTCAGAATTACTAGACAAGAGAGATATATAACTTTACAGTGGAAAGTGCTTTTACATTTAAAGACCTGGAAAAGGAAATTTAGTTCAAAAAGTAACTAAAATTAAAGGGAAAAAATAAAACCTGATCAAGATTCTTTTTAATGCCACAAGTCTTTGAAAATGAGAGTGTAGCCGAAACCGGTTTGGCTCAGTGGATATAGTGTCGGCCTGCGGACTGAAAGGTCCCAGGTTTGATTCCCGTCAAGGGCATGTACATTGATTGCGGGCACATCCCCTATGGGGGTGTGCAGGAGGCATCTGATCGATGTATCTCTCTCATCGATGTTTCTATCTATCCCTCTCTCTTCCTCTCTGTGAAAAATCAAAATATTGTAAAAAAAGAAAAAGAAAAAAGAAAATGAGAGTGTATTTGTGTGTATCAAAGCTAGCAGGTAACACTTTGTATTGAAAGCACATTATAGAAACATAAAAGATAATTTGTTTTCTGCATAAATGTTACTAAATGTTTGAACTCAAAGGGTAGGTTTTACAGTGTAGCTGTTGACACTTGTTGAAGTTAAATTGAATCTATGTGAAAGGGATCCTAACTTGTTTTGTTTGTCATGGGAGAGTTCAGTATGTATGACACCTGCTGTTAAAATCCTGTGCTGGGCAGGGGTTGTCTCAAGACAAATGAAGTCCTAATAGTAAATATTATTTCTCAGAACACTAGGTTGATTAATAAAAACTCCATATAAAAAGATTTGTAAATATATATGATTTTTCCTCTTAACAAATTTGAGACTTAAAGTTTTGAACCTGATGTTTTGAAAAGTTTTAAAAGGTGTTTTGATCAGATGCTCTTTCTTTACTGATTCAGTACAAAACTTGAATCATCTTTGTCTTATCTAAGTAATTCTTTCCCTCTATCATCTTTTGCCCTTTAAAGTTATCAATATTTTAAGAATATTAGAACTGCAAACAAATGAAAATTGACATGGAATCCAGATTCAGGATTCTGAAAGAGCTTATGTGGGCAAAATTAAGATAGTGAATATTTTCAGGTTCAAATTCTAGATTTAGGATAAACTCCAATGAAGTTGCAATGGTATTTATTTTGTTTGTTTTTAATCTTCACCTGAGGTTATTTTTTTTCATTGATTTCTACAGAAAGTGGAAGGGAGGGAGGAGAGAAACATCATGTGAGAGAGATGAATTGTTTGGTTGCCTCCTGCACAAGCTCCTACAGGAGCTGGGAAACCTGCAACTTAGGTACGTGCCCTTGACTGGAAACAGAATTTGAGGCACTTCAGTCCCCAGGTTGACTCTCTAATCACTGAACAAAACTAACCTAGTATGTTATTTTTTTAAAACAGAAAATTTGTATAAGTCAGGCCAATAGATTTTAGGATGCTAGTCCGTAAGGAAGAGATGTTTGGAAAGCAATTTTTCCCACTCCCAAGACAACTTTTCGCCTCGGGGAAAGATCCTGGCACGCCCTTCGTTTATCAATTTTAAAGCAGTCCTTTTTTTTTTTAATAAATAAAAAAGAAACATTGTGTGCAATGTTGTAATATTGTTTCCTGGGCAATGGGCGAAAGGGTCTGTGCAGAACTGATCAAGGAGAAGTTGGGATGAAGGTTGAAACCGCATGATTATGAGGTCTTTTTAATATTTCTAGAATTGTCAGAACCTGAAAGAATTGCCTTATACTGACATGATCTCTAGCGGGAATTCTGATAGGCCTTGTAGTAAGAATTCAAATGCCCTGGGGGGCTCATTTATATGTAAATCTTTCTATAACCATTAGAACAGCACTATATAATAGAACTTTCTGAAATGATGAAAATGTTCTGTATCTGCTGTGCAATACCGGAGTCACTAGGTGTATGTGGCTATTGAGTATTTAAAATATGGCTCAGGTGTCTAAAAATCTGAATCTTTAATTTAATGTAATTAACAGCCCATGTGACTACCTTATTGGATGGCACAAATTTAGAAGCTTTAGTTTTAACACTTTAGATAGCCATACAGAATGTTTTTCCTGATTAAACCTTATCAGTTTTTTTTCCTTTTAGTCTATCAGGGAAAAAATCATTTTGGTTACTAGGTTTAGGTCTGTGTAAACTAAAAACTACTGAAAGATGGAAGGCATCATTTAAGATTAGATAAAATTCTGGTAAGTGTTTGGATATCTGCTTCTACCTATAATTGTTATCTCTATTGACTAGTTACAGCTTCTATTTAGCATGGATTTAAGATTCTTTTTTCTTTTCTGCTTTCTGGGATATACCTCAGATCATTGATACTTAATACTGCCTTTTATGTTTGCTGAAAAGTCTGGTCAAACTGATTGAGTTTGTGGCCTCCTTTGTTTTCTTGTGTTTCTCTTATGGAATGTCTTATTCTGGTTATAAATTGCCCTTTCACTTGTGACAAATACTCTTTCTGCATTTTTTCAATGACTTCCATTTTGCCAGTAAGGCTTCCATTTTTATCTTTATATATACTGTCTTTTCTATTGAATAAAGTTACTCACCAGGCAGCAAATTGATCTACTGAAGTTCTAATTGCCTTTCTTTTTTCACTTAAAAAAGTGGGTATAGTAAAGTCCAGGGTAGTTAGCTGACTAGCTCCCCAAGCAGTCTATGATAATCACAAAAATAGTCAATTTATTAAGGTGTTTTGCTGAATAAAACTGGTTCTAAAGGAGGCAGGGGTCAAGTCACTTGTCTCATATATTACAGTGGCTCTCTGCATCCCCGAAACGCCTTCCTTCAGTAAGCAGAGTGCTTGAGTGCAACCCCTTTGACCTGCTGATATGTAGATCACAACATCTGATGCTTCCTGGAATTGCCGATTACTGTAACTGCTGCCCATCTGTCAATGAAGGAGCAGTTTCAGAACTCAGACTTGGGGGAGGAAAAGTAATTAATGGTATGTACCTTTAAGAACCCCCTCATACATAAAATAGTTTCTAATACTTTGGTCCATATGCATATGTGAAGGAAAAAAATTCAGAAGGGTCTTCATAGTTTGTTGGGTGGAATATGTAAAATATGGCACAATAAAAGGACAACTAGGGATAAATGCTGTGGATTTTTTAAAAAGTCATTTCCGGGAGGGCTCTGAAAATTATAACTTTTAGAACCCTTTTCTTCGGTGGAAATGCATTTTCTTATGAAAATAGGATAGGCCTTCTATCCTAAGAAAATAGTAGAGTTCTAAATCTTAAACCTACAAATGCGGAATTCATGTTTGTGCATTAGTAGGTAAATGATCATTCCTAGTCAGATGGAATTATTTAATGATAGAGGTTACATGTGGCTCTTGAGTCAGGCTTAGATTATATTACATTCTTGGCCCTTAAAGTGGTTTATTAAAAACAGGACTGATAATTTACTCTCCTTTGTATAGTACATGATTTATTTATTTGGAAGTTCTTTGCTTTATATGGAAAAGTTTATCTAATTAAGTGAATGGCTACTTGGCACCTGATAAAACTTCATTAAAGATACTATTCTACTGAATTTTTAAATCTGAGTTTTCTAGATTTTTTATTTTGAAAATTTAATTCACAAAATTATCTTTCTCTAAGAACTTAACATTCCCTCCATTTTTAGGCACAAATATTAGTTTTTCAGAAATAGCCAGAAAGATTTAGAATCTTAGGCAAGAGGTAATATTTAACTTTCTTGGCAACCGAACCAGAACTACTATTTATAAAACCTCAGTAGGAGCCAGAAGAAACTCAGTACAGAGTTTACCTTCATAATTTTTATCCCCCCAAAAAACACATGATGTTTTAAGGTATTTTGTATGCAGTAGTAGGGAAACAGATATACAGGTTCTTAAGTCAGATAAGATGATACATAATATGGATTGTTTTTAGAGTAAAGTGATAGATCTATCAATTTGTACTATTTCAAAAATGTAGCAATCTACCCATTTGTACTATTCCTTGAGTTTTTTAACCAGCCCTCCCAAATACCTTCGAATGAAGCTGATAAGTATAAGCCTGAGTTACAAAAAATATTTGCCACCCAGAAAGATATTGCTTGCCTGTGTGTGTTAATGTTTGTTTATTTTCCTTTTAAATGAAGATGTGCTAATATGTGTAACATTAAGGTATTGGTATATTTTCAATCTAATATGGTAATTTGCTTACCGGGATGAAGTAAGCTTTATAATAAATGAATAGGAAGACTAATGGCTCTTTATATATACCTACAGTATTTTAGTAGAAATATGTAGGAGCAGGGACATTCTTACTTCTACAGATAGAGGCTGCTTCAAGTGTTTTAGGGCTTGTAAGGTGTGGGGCATGTTGGCTAGGCAGTTAATAGTACTGTAACACCCTATAAAACAATAGTCATGAAATATATATATGACATGATATAAGCTCAGGCCTTCATAATTGACTATTTCTCATCTTTGCAGATATCTGTTCAGTTAAAATTGACACTTAGAAATAATGCATGGTATAAGCTCAAGTCTACTCTATTTCTCTTATTGAAAGGCAACTGTCTGGTTTTAAATCTCAGCTCCACACTGTATAAAAATACTGTATCTCAGTTTACACATGGGAATAATCATAGAACATACATTATAATATTGTTATGAACTGCAAATGTATAGGGTACATAAGTGCTATATGGTGAGAGCTGCCGTCATCAAAAAATGAAAACTTGCTTGTTGAAAATGGGTGACAATATGAATCATGAAAATAATGTTACGGTTTTTGGTTTTCCTTTTTAGGAAGTTATAGAACTAACCAAAGACCTTCTGTCAACTCAACCTTCAGAAACTCTTGCAAGTTCAGACTGTTTTGCTTCTACTCAGCCCACGCATTCATGGAAAGTAGGGGACAAATGTATGGCAATCTGGAGTGAAGATGGACAGTAAGTGTAGAAAAAAACTAACTATAACATGAAATATTAATATACAATGGTAAGATGATTTTATTCAGTTCGAACTACCCTATTTTAATCTTTCTGTATAGCCAATGTGGTTAATAGAGCCAATTTGATTCTTGGGTGGTTACCATTAATACAGTTTAGTTTTTATCTTTGGATTAAATTTTTGGGCAGAAGAATGGCTAAGATCCCAGAGGAAAGAAAACTGAAAGCAGAGGAAAATAAATATTTTGAAAAATAATCTAAATTGTGTTTTCCTCAAATTGAAAATTGAGTGAATGGTTGGTTGTCTTAGATGTCCATGAAGTACATACACTGAAATTATTCCTATAAGAAATGTCTTTCCTCAAAGAGCTTGACTAAAGCACAGTTAATAGATGTGTAAGAGACTTTCCTGGCAAATATTGATTAGGGATTCCTTTTAGGATACCAGATGGCTAACTCCAACCATTCTTGCATTATCTTTGCCAAAGTGTCATTTGATTACAGAACTTTTATTTTAGACACATGTAATAGTTGAATCACTGCAGTGTAAGTCTTGTAGGCTGAGTACCAAACCTTTACTCACCTGCTTACAGCCATGATATCTTTACAGGTGTTATGAAGCGGAGATTGAGGAGATAGATGAAGAAAACGGCACCGCTGCAATCACCTTTGCTGGCTATGGCAATGCTGAAGTGACTCCACTGTTGAACCTCAAGCCTGTAGAAGAAGGAAGGAAGGCAAAGGAAGACAGTGGCAGCAAACCCATGTCCAAGTAAGTGTCTTTTTAGCATTTTAAGTGTTATCTTCACCATTTGGGTTATTTGAGGTAGTGCAGAATCTATGCAGGCTAATTTAGAATAAGGAAGTTATAATACTGCTTACCATTATTTTGAAGATTAGCAATATAAGGTCATTCATTCTCTGTATTTGTATGCCAAATAAGTGAGGACATTTGGCTTTCCACTTAGGCATTTAGTATTTATTTGGTGGATACTGTGTATATTATCACTAACCCAGATGCTGGGGTTTCACAGCAGTGAAAAAACTAATTCAGGTCTTGTCCTGATTGAGTTTATGAATGAAACATAATAGGTACCTTAAGGGAACAAAGAACAGGTACCTAAACTGCACTTAGGCATTCGGCAAATTACTTTGAGAAAATGACATCTAAACTTCAGAGATCTGAAAAGAAAAGGAGTTGGCCAGCTAATGCACTAGAAGGTATGACTTTGAGCAAGCTGCCTATCTTCTGTTTCCTCATCTGTAAAACAGGGAAAGAGTATCTACATTTTTGGATTTGTCAAAAGAGTTTTTAAAACTTAAGTTGCTACATAAATATATTTGAATTTAAGAAAATTGTCATCTATTAAAATTACATTTGATTTAAGCATCCCATAAGAAAATCAGATTATAGAACGACATTTTTTAAATTTTTGACATCTGTATGAAAAGCCACTCTTGGCTTCATAGTGGTGATTACATGATACAAAGGAGTCTAGACTTTATTACCTCTTTTTAAAGACCTTTTCCTTCATCCTTTTTTGTTGAGAACTCAGCAGTTCTCAACAACTGCTGAGCAGAACTTACTACCATGTTTCCCCGAAAATAAGACATCCTCCGAAAATAAGATCTAGCGCATGGAAAGATAAGACATCCCCTGAAAATAAGACCTTTTGCAACTTTGGGAGAAAAAATTAATATAAGACACTGTCTTATTTTTTGGGAAACAGGGTATGAGAGCTTTAGGCTCCAATCTTATTCACTGTTTTTGGAAAATCCCAGTTGCTTTTGTGTTAAGAATTGTTAGCTCGGATTTCCCTTTGTGTTTCTGTGCTTTTCCAATCTAAATGAAATAGGGATTTATGTTCCTCTAATCTCTTAATATACTTTTTCCAAATGCAGCATTTTATACTTGCTAACTGTCCACTTAGAAATTGATAGAAGATTTAGACATCTGGTAACACTCATCTTATTCTGAAAACACAACTGGCAAAAGCTATTTAAACATCAGCTAAAAAGTCAGTTGAAATATTTAATAGATTACTATTATGTTTGGAAGTTTCTAAGTATGCACAGTATATCAAATAACATTTATTAGTAGTGCTGGGTCATTGGCATGATGTTAGTGCTTTTATTCATGAGGAGAGTATATAAGTTTATTTGTTTCTTTTTTCTTCTTCTTCTTCTTTTTTTTTGTATTACTAAATATCCTCAGAAAGTCATCTTTTCAATTTTAAAGAGTTGACATTTAGTTGTTATATCCACACAGAAAAGAAATGATTGCCCAGCAGCGTGAATATAAAAAGAAGAAAGCTTTGAAAAAAGCACAGAGAATAAAAGAACTTGAGCAGGAGAGAGAGGACCAGAAAGTGAAATGGCAACAATTCAACAACAGGGCCTATTCTAAAAACAAAAAAGGCCAGGTTAGTAAATCCTTTCATCATATTTTGTAAATTTGAAAAATGCAGCTGTCATTAAAATGGAAAAGGAGGTTTTTAAAAATACATGATCTTAAATTCAGAATTCTCTTCAATCTTCAGTTTGGCTTATTGAAAAAAATCTACATTAGCCACTGTCTCTACAATAGAAATACCAGAAACCAGAGTTTATATCAGGAATTACAGAAGATCTAGTTTTTTCCCCCTTCTATAAACTAAAATTTGAAAAATTATTTGCTGTTTTTCCACTTAGAAGGGGGTATGTTGTACCACACTTGCTTTGTTAAAATGCCTTATGCTGGACATCGTCGATAGATTTTATTTAAAAGTGCACTGGGGTTCCATGATGTACATTTTCATTTATGTATATTTTGTAATTTTTGTTATTTCCAAAACTAATCAAGAATTGTTTGTTTCATTTACCCTAGGTAAAGAGGAGTATTTTTGCTTCACCTGAGAGTGTAACTGGCAAAGTTGGAGTAGGAACTTGTGGAATTGCTGATAAACCTATGACACAGTATCAAGATACCTCTAAATACAATGTCAGGCATTTGATGCCTCAATAATCACAAAAACTGTTGGATTTCATCTCTGCAGGGCTTTACATTTACCTTTTTATCCTTATATTTTTCTAAAGGTAAATTATTTGTTAGATGAGTAAGGAAAATACCATTGTTGTCATTGTTTGACTTCAATAGAATGAAACTTGAAGAAATTGCATTTGATAACTGCTATTCATTTAACTTGCTTCATTACTACTACCACAGTTTCCTCAGTTTGTTGGGTAAGGCAACTTTTCTAAGTAGATACTGCTTAAATAAAGCACTTAGATGAACTGTTAATCTTCCTAATATCAGGCCCCATACATTTTGTAAAGTCCTAACCTGGAACTTTTAGTACCTTAAAACTTGCCACATATTCAGAAAGCAATTCACTGGAATATCAAGGGAGAACACCAAACTTTACAGAGATCTTTTTATTTTTATTTTTTCTTAACCTTCAACTTAAACGTAGCTATTGGCCAATTAAACTTAAAAAATAAGTTAACTTGTAAAAGTCCAATTCTGTTGTCAAGTTTTTCCTTCAATAACTTGTTTCTTAAAGCCTGTTAGGCCATCTCTAAAATGTATCCAGCTCTTTTATTCTTTTCATTGAATTTTAGTTTTATGTAAAAAACCATGTTTTAGCACCAGCTACCTTTTCTAATTTTTTCCTCCCTCCCGTTTTGGTTTTTCACATAGGGTAGTGGTACCATTTTTTTGGATGTGAAATGTTTATATGAGAAAAAAAAAAAGCTGATGTATAGCCCTGTATACAGTGTAGATACTATTTTTGTAAAAAAAGAAAAAAGAAAACCACCAAGGCTAAATTAATGAACAAGAGTACTAAATGTTTCATTATTAAAAATTGACTGTATTTCTTGTGCATTAATCTGACCATAATCCCCTGTATATTATGTTCATGTAGCTGAGTTTGTAATTTTTGTTGATTAGATCAAGTTGTCAGCATTTGCTGGTGTAAGTGAACATCATATTTATCCTGAGTTGAGTTTAAGCCAAATATATGCGTAGAAAAGTATCTTCCTGTTAATGGAAGTCAGTGATTTTCAGGATGTGTTAATTTCAGTTTTTGTATGTTTAACTTTTATTAAATAAAATGTTTTTAAAATCTCCAGGATGTGTTATGACAAAGGTCAGGTCTTACTCATAGCTCCCAGCATTGATAATGATTAAGCCTCAATGTACTTGCATACATTTCTGCAGAAGAAAATGATTATGATAAAAGTTTCAATAAATCCTTACCTACTCCACTTTATTAGACATAAACAATTGTATTCTAAAGGGCCAACCAATTTTAAGGGCTTGTGCTATAAGGGGAAAATAAAAATTTTTTTTCATGTATTTTAATTCTTCTGGTAAATTGAAACTTTTAGGAAGTAGTGGTGAGAGGTAGAATTTTTCATCTTGTCCTCCTTCCACCTCCCAACCCAGGAGATAACTTTTTCCTTTAGTTTTTGACCAGTGAGTAGCGTACATAGGATAGAAAAAAAGGTGAAACTTTTTTACATACCAGGTACAAATTCCAGGAGAAAAAGGGCCACTTGCTTGAAAAACTTACAAATGAAACATACTCTCATTATTAATTGTAATATACTAATCAGTATCCTTGAAGGATTGCATTTGCACCCTTTTAATGAAAAACCACAGGACAGACATTTGGTATAATTGAGTGGCCACACCAAATGTTTTTTGATGAGATTACCTTATGTTTATCACTCACCTAGTGTTTTTGTAGGCAAGACTTAATGTTGAGACTTGTGCTTTGTTTGATTGACTCTAAAAGCCTTCCTTTCCTTTTTTTTTTTTTCTGAAGGGCTTTGCAGTATGAGGAGAAAAGAGTAAAGGTGACCATAGCCTATAAAATATATTTTTTAAAGTAGGCATATGTGGCACGAGATCAGGAACCTTAAGTGTCAAAAGACCTAGACATGACTCTGAAAAGTCTGAGGTACCAGGATGATAGTATCTTTGGACTAAACTAAAAGTTAAGACGCTGGAGAGAGTATCTGTCTTGTGTCATGTTAAAGCAGAGAAGATGCTTAATGAGTAGCATCTCATAATACCAATACTTTTTTACAAATGATGGTGGTTAAGCTCTCAATATTCTGAAATCAAATATAACACTTGGTCTTATGAAGCTTTGTTATAAAATTTGATGTAATTTCCCATCAAGAAAGGCTTGACAAGCTCAGTAACTGACAGATCGTGCTGTCAGTCATTTAGGGCTCCCAAGTAGCTATGGTTGCGTACATCTTTTCAAAACTTGACATTTGACTTTGTTGTTATTGGACAGTTGAAGAAAAGACCAGTTCTAACATTCCCAAAATACGTAAACTTTAAAATTGTAGTATTAATGACAGATAACATGCTTTTTAAATTAACATATTAGAAGAGTAAAGACTAGTCAGACTGCTGTGTTTGAATCCTGGCTTCCTTATTTATTACCTGTGTGTATAACTCCTCTTTGATTCAGTTTTCAGCTGTAGGACAATTTGTTTCAATAAATTATAAGGATGGATGAGTTAATATGTGTAAAGTGCTTAGTGGAGTATCTGGCATGTGGTAAGCACTATAGAAGTGTTTGCTGTTAATTGTGCAGAATGGTAATGGTGAATATCTGATCTTCCTTTTTTTCTTAAATTCTTTATTGTTTAAAGTATTACATATATCTCTTTTTCCCCATTGACCTTTTCCTAGCCACCCCCACCCCCCGATCTTTTTTCCTTAATTTAAACAATAATTCCTATCAAAATGTATAATAATGCCCATTGCTTACAATTTGTGACCCCTAATTATAAACATACTGAAATGTTACCAAATTATCAAACTTCATAAGAAGTACACCCTAGTAAAGGTTAAAATTTTTATATTAGAATATCTTAGGCATGTTTCTTAATGGGAAGGCGGTACAGGTTTCAATAAAATCATTCCTAATGCCTCTTTAAAATGAGGGATTCCTGAATCCTACCTCAGACCAGTGTTTCCCAAAGTGTGGTACGCGTACCCCCAGGGGTATGGGAAGAGTTTGGTGGGGGTACGTGTTGCACCGGAGTTTGGTGGGATATGCACTGCACTGTGCGTAACTGCGCCTAATTCTGCGTTCTCAAAAAGTACGAGGGGTACTCAGCGTTATAAAAATCATGGAAGGGGTACACATATGTCAAAAGTTTGGGAAACACTGATCTAAGCCAAGGTATAACTTACCACTCCACAGGTGATTCTGATACACATCCCTGGCTGAGAACCATGTTTGGGTAAATACAGGGGTGCACAAAAGTAGATTTACTGTGCCATTGTGACATTCTTTTGAGTTAAACCTATTGTAACAATCACAACTTGCATGTCTTTTACCATACAATTTTGACCACCCTGTATAAAAGCAGTTTGATTTTTGAAATGAAGGAAAAATTACCTTAATAAGTGGCAATTTTCTTAGCCCAATTATGAAGACTAGACATCAAACTAGAATGAAATGCATCCATCTATTATAACAACTCATTTTTAAAAAGTTTTTCATAAAAGGGTGCCCATGTGTATGTTTCCACTACAATGCAGTTCTAATGCTGAGTAAGGCTGCCTTTAATGTAGTGAAGGAAAACCAGATACCAAAGGAAAAATCATGGTTTTATAAATCATGTGTCTATAGATTGTAATTCTTAAAAGTGATAAATGCCACTTGTAAATTCAGGCAAAAAAAATATTTTTAAATCTTTGATTTGACTTGCCTTAACTTTGTTAACTGAAATATAAAATTATTAAAACCAACAAGGTTTATATTAAAATCTTCAGTTCTATAAATACCTGTTGAATTATATTATTTATATTATACTATGAAGCAACCAATTACTAAAGTAGTAATTTACAAGTAAATATGAACATTCTTTGTATCTAGGATTTTTGAGTTGCAAGCTAAACACTGAATTTTTACTGCAGTGGAAAGGAAAAGTATAGCAGGCAAAATAACAGGTAATAACTGTTGTTTAAACAAAAACCCAAGCAATTAAACCCCCTTACACTATGATTTTTAAGCATGTCTTTATAGATATGCTTTTGAGGATCAGAAACAAATATTGACATTCTAAGAATTTGTTTTGACCTGGCTAAAAATAAATAGTAAAAGAAAACATGAGATGGAAGGAATTAGATTTATGTGAAGTTCTTTGATTACCTCCTCTTGCCTTTCAGCTTATGTATATAGAGGTAGTTCTATTGTGGCCTGGAGGTAAAGCAGACCTGAGATTAACATGGCTTGTGGTAGTTGACAGCTGAACGAGCTAAAAATATCAAATTATGGATACTTAAATTACCTTTCAGTTTCCAGAAATAAAAACTGGTATTTACTTCCACCAAGCCCCTCGCCAGTTCATTTTTATGAAACCAGTACAGACTTAGGTTACTGTACTTAAAATTATAATTTGTATCCTCAGTCTTTTTTAAGAGCACAGCTAAAGCAGCCATGGTTATACCTCATTATGAGAAAAGGTTTGCTTTCTGTTTGAAGAGCTACCTTTTCAACTTTAGGCCAAAAGTCATGGTTATGATTTTGCTGGCTCATGATTTCCCTTTCTTGGTGAAACTGATGTGCTTTTTTTGTTTTGTTTTCCCCCCTTTCAAGCCCTGTACTCACTTTAGCAAGATGCAGTGAATTTCTGACCAGAGAAACAATTCAGGCTTGGAGGAAACGCTTGACTTTTAAGTCCTTGGAAAACTAAGATTTTGAATCCTGTGGTCTGCCGCTAGGCTAGTCTTTACTGGTAATAGATGGTAATTGTCCAGTTGTTCATTGCTCAGAAGTATGCAGGAAGCAGGAGTAAGTATACCCCTTTGGTACTTTTGCCCAGTTTTATCCTCCAAAAGTACTGTTAGATTTAGTTGACCTAGCTTTCAGAGTGTTGAAGCTAATAGAGAAGAAACTGACTCACATTTGTACTTTCTTATGGCTTTTATGTTTTTACAATGCTATCTGTGCTAGGTTTGAAAATCTAAACTAAATGCCCAAGTACTACTGCCCTATTAAGCATTTCTCCATAGCAAAGAGCTTGAGGAAATGGGAAAATTTCCAAAATTTTAGAAAGTTAGCTGGCAGTCTTGAAAAGAGCTTCATTTAAGCCATGTCTTCTAATAATTTATGATTCTATAGAAGTTAAAACAACCAAGAAATGGCCAGCCAGTACATATATTTTGAACTATACTGGTTAATTAGAAGAATCAGATGTATTCCACAAGAAAACTAGTTTTCCGTCAGATCTGGTAAATGGGCCAGGAAGATTCCCTCCTCCCCCTCTCCCCCCGTGGCAAAGCCAACACAAAATGGTAACTATGGCATTCAGTTATGCAGTGGCTACTATTAGTGTACTCAAGCTCAGGGTAGTCAGGCCCCCCCCCCCTTTTTTTTTTTTAGATCCAGGCAATTACTAAAACTGTTGAACCATCAATCTTGTAAAAGCTTTATTTTTAAAAAATTATTAGGAAATAAAAATTGACTTCTTAAAAAGTATAACCCGCTATGTAATTTTGTGAAAAGGAACTGTTTCATTTAATAGAAAGACCTAGTCAGAATAACTAATATTCAAGATTAAGGATGAAGAGATTAGAAGATTGCATCTATCAGAAAAAGTAGTTACATACCTTAATTTCCTTTTGGTGCTACAAACTCCTAGATTAAGGGGGTAGTATAATTTACATATGTCAATATTAATCCTTACAACCTTTTGAGACAGGTATTTATCACAACTTGTCAGGAGGAAATAGTCCCTATAAAGAAATTAAGTAACTTGCCCAGGATCCTTAGCAAATGCTAGAACTGGGATTTAGTGACCAAAACCCTTGTTTTTACCACATGATGCTGTTTTTGATTGGAAGGATGGAATTTTTCAGGTTGCAGATTTTTTAAAAAAGGAAAAAGGCATCTTGTTGCTTTAAGCAGAAGACTCATACAAAAAAACAAAAACAATTCCCAAGGGCTAAACAATTTTCTCATGAGAAATTGCCTAAGAAGCAGTTGGCCTTAGGAGTTTTGCCTCAATAATCCTCACTTTTAGAATTCCTTTATTACTAAAGCTGTCATTGTCACCAGAGAAGTTATACCTATACTAATCAGAAACTAGAGAAACAATGACATCACAATCTTCTTTGGTAGTATGCACTGAAATAAAATTTACCTGCATCATCATTCAGGCTTTTCCATACAGGGTACCTTCTCAGGTCAGCTTCCAGACTTGGTTTCGATATATGTGTAGCCAAAAGGATTCCTTAAAAAGTTATTTGGAGAACAGATATGCATGACATGGCTTTGTGTCCTACCTGAAGCAGTTAAATATCACAGTAAACCACCTGCAATTAGGTTATGTGGTGGAATTATCTGTCAAGAAGGCACCTGTTGAGTTATAGATAGGAAATGGCAATGGTTCACATTGTCATTAATTCTGGACTAAAGTGTCAACAGACATTTAGGTGACAGTCGCCTCTCAGGGTGTAGATGCTCATTTACATATTTTTCCTTCATAGAGAAGGGTGGTACAAAAAGCACTCGGTATTATTCATTCACAATTTTTATTTCTTGCAATTAACTTGTGTATCTTCAAAGTCGATTTGTCTTTTAAAAAAGTAATACTTCTTACTCATCATACAATCCACCCCCCTCCCCCAGTAAAACAAACCCAGGGAAGGAGTCATTTAGGGGGCAGTTGAAATAGGTACTCTTGGTTCATGACAAAGTCTTCTCAGCCCACCATTCAATACATACACAACAAAATGGCAGCACCTCAAGTTCGCCTGAAAGAATCGTCCCAAATTCCAGCCCAGGCAAAGTGATGCAAGTGAATGCCATGGGAATAAAAATGGAAGCTTAATCATTGGCTTCCATTTACTTTCCATGGTAGTTAGCAGAGTCTTCAAACTGTCTTACTTGGGAAAGTCGAAAGTAAGCAACGTAAGAGTTAATGTTTTGACCCAGCCAAGAGGAATTTAAAATGAAACCAGAAATATTTACCTGGGTCACAGAAAGAAATATACATTTTTTCCTTGAGTCCCCAGCACCTGAAGTAGCAAGTTCTATTATAATAATGGGCTTCTAAAGGCATGCAGTTTTTCACACATGTACTTCAAAGAATTTCTTCCACTCAAACAGCACAAAGATAAACTATTTTTGAGGCACAGGAAGAGCACAAGAACAAGTATATGCTGAGGCCTTGTGTATGACCAAGATGGTACACTTCATATATAGAAGCAGTGAAAGCTGTTAAAGTGCTACTTAAAAAGGATAGTCTAATTATTACACACGCAACTCGACTGCACTGCTAAATATGGTTGTCTTTATTTTCTTTTTCTTTGCCCAGCCCTATCTAAACAAAATAAAACTACAGGACTGAAATTAACAACCCATTAAAATCAGCAATAAGTTATGAAAATCATAAAGCTTTTTTAAAAGTAATTATGGGTAGTTAAATTATTTAAAGTATACAAAGTTCAAAGAGCAGGAGTAGTAAGGAGGTCTCCGAGAAGGCTTCCTGGGGTAAGGGAAGGGAGAAAAGGGCCATTCGAAGGACAAAGGGAACACATGACATCAAAGTGCAGGCTAGGAATTTCACTTAAAATAACATTTCTGAAAATATTGGTAAGAGCAACAATAGCACCTGCACAGTGGGACTGTGAGGAAGGAGAGAGTCTGCCTGTAGGAAAATGGAAGCAAATCTTTACATTAAAATGAGACAAGTCCAGAACTTAACTATGTTAACTATGATAGTGTGTCTACTATAGATATCAGATGGATAAAAGCTGGTAATGACTCTAAAAGAAAAGAAAAACAGCATTGACCTTTTTCCTACCTAGCCCAGACCTCATTCACTTGGTGCACTATAAAGAGTGAGGCATTTTATCATTATCAAATGCTGCATCAAAATAGATGATTTTTCCCCCCCACATGTTTTTCCACTATAAAAGACATCTATGTTTTTATGGACAAGCTTTAAAAAGATGTCATTTTGGTTTTTAACACATACAAACAGTTATCAAAATCTGAAATAAAAATGCTGCTGTGGCTCAGACCTTGGCCTGCTAATCTGCGTGCACAATTCTTCTGGCCCACGCAGACACAGAGGCACGTGGAGCTTCTTCCTTCTGGCCCCTCAGTCCAAACTCAGGCCCTGTGTGGGAGAGGCTGTCACGCATGAACTGCCCCAGGGTGGCTAATGAGCTGGCGGCTGGGTGCCCTAGTGCTAACAATGCAGGGTAAGGTTGGCTTGCTTAGCATGGAATCCAACAGATGGCTGAGCTGCATGATGATCCCTTTCAAAAGGCTTCATGGGAGTCTCTCCTTTTGCAGAGCATGAAATGAAAGTGTGCGTTCTTTTTTTAAATTAAAGAATTGATCATCCACAGGCTTTCATGATAAGCTAACCCAGGCTAAGTTTTAATAGCTGTGTAGCTATTCAAGATTAATGCCTGATTATCTTGTCTTGCCATTATTATAGATCTGGTTTTGTGTTTAGGACCATAAAGCTCAGGAAGGGTTCAGAAAACCATTCTTAAATGTGTCTACACTATGAGCAAAACTAGGAAAGAAAAAAAGAGGATGGAATTTTCAATGTCCTTTCAAATAAACTAAATCAAGTCAAGAAAATTTCACACAAGTTTTCTGCTGCCATTAGAAATTGTGATTTTCAAAAGTGAATATTAATGAATATTTGTTCTGCTGGGAGGCTCTGCCCCACTTTTTGCTAAGTATTTACTTAAATAAAGGTCTTCTGACCCTTTTGTTCAAGTATGATTTTGTTTAGGTTACTTTTAAAGGAGACTGCATCATGAACCCAATTTAAGAGATTGTTTGGATTGAATTGGCCCAGTGAATATTTTGCCCTGCACTGTTATGTCATGCTGGGTTCTAGGAAGTGAACGAAAGTTTGACACTGGCACTGGAGTAACCCTCGTCACTCCCAATACTCTGCAGGCTGCTGTGGTCATCAATGTCACTGATGCTGGTGGTACTGATATTGTCCACTTCTCCATGGGAGAACTCTGTGCTTTCAACATCCACTTCAATCTCCTCTGCCAAAGGGGAAAAAGAGAACGTTAGTAATCTAGTTTACGGGCACTTTAAACAACCAACAGAGGAAAAGTGATTACTTTTTTATAGTATAAAATAATTGCTAAACAAGTTTATTATGAGCGATGTCTGGAGAACAGAAGGAACCAAAGGTGAAGAGACATGGATATATTTTACAAAAGGGAATGTCTGGTATACAGTGGTGGTCTCAATTTAGGCAGCAAGTTTACTAAAGCCTTTGACGCCAGTCTGTCTGGACCTCCCACCAAAAGCACTTGGCCTATTTGGGAATTAGTGCTTAATATTAAAAGATCCCAACCCCAAATGGTTTAACAACATCTGTTTTGCATTAAACTAGAAACTAATTCTCAGTCTGTTTATTAATCAGAGTTGCTTTAAGGGGGGTGGAGGGCAGGAGAGCATAAACTTAATATAGACAAACTAGAAAATTTATCCGCGCAGGCCTTTGGTAGTATCATTCTACCAACAGTGCTTCAGACTTCTAAGATTCATCATAAAGATACTTTACTATTCAGTAACCAAAATAAGCCTGTCATTATAAAGCAGACTATGGGATTTGTCTTCCAATTTAATTTTCTTGCGTTAAATATAGCTTGAAATGAAAGTCTGATGCTTAAAGTTTCTGGATTATAGTGAGTTCTATAAGTAAAGATTATAGTAAAGGCATATCAGTGGTGGTATTTAACTTCAAAAATCAAATTTGATGGGAAAAAGTCTAAATATATTATTACCCAGCTGCCGGTAGATATCTCAATTGTTAAGTACTACATAAAAAGCAATACACATTTTAAAAAATAAAAGGCAGTTGAAAAACTGTTTTCTCCCATAATAGCTAGAATGAACCCAAGGTTCTTCAGTGCTCTTAAACTCAAAGCCTAATGTTTCACATTTGGCACTGACTTGAAGGGTTCACACTGATCACAATTGCTTTAGGAAAAGTGGATTCTTGCTGAGCCCAAGAAGACAAGAGTAAGTTAGTTCAAAGAGTATAATTTTCAAAAGGGCTTGTTGCTTCAAAAGTTTTAGAGATCTGTTTTTAAAATGCAGGCAGCTGTCCAAACAAGCTGTCCAAATAATCCTATGAATTCATAACTATTTGTTTCATACCCACAATGCTTCACAGGCTATTTAGTGCTTCCTAGTATCACAGAACATGCATTCAACCTCCAATTGGGAAATAAAATGAAGACACCCTATCTAACAAAGCATGCTGAACTCAAAACAAAGTAAAATGAGACATGCTCTAGCCAAATGGAATAGAGATTGTTACTAAAAGTTACTGGGAAAGAGGGCTGTCAGATAAGAACAAGAATAATATAGATCAGACAACTAATATACTGGGGGTACTAAAAAATGATAACTATGATGATGAAGGTACAACCTCTAAAATTTGGAAGTGGGTAGCTACAAGGAGGAGATAACATGAGGAAGTTAAAGCCTGAAGACCTGACAGATCACAGTGCGTAAGCACTAGAAAAAAAAGACTAGGATCAAGGTCTGCCTTTTAATTCAAGAGTATTTCTGCTAAGCCTCACGGTCCACTCATAAATGTAGCATGTCCTAGAGGTTCTTGCTGTTGCCCCTAGTAAATTTTTGTTCTTCAAAATTGAGTGCCACATAAAAAGACTTTTACATAAGAAAAACAACAAACCTAAGGACTCCTAGTGTGTGTTAAAAGGGATTAAAAAAAAAAAAACAGTTTAAAAAGCTCCTACAGAATATAGGAAATTTGAGTATTAAAAAGAAAAATGACTACAATGGACTTGAACACATTCAATACATGAAAACATGAATTCATAACATAATAAATAAGCAAAACAAAAAGCCCTATACCTCTGGATGTTACCAAGGCAACTTATTCAGAAAATTGATATAAAACAAAAACATCCCATTTTCCCTATATGGTCTTTATTTCAGAGTAACCATAAACTAAAGCAAATGTTCTTCTTTATAGAAGGAAAAGTTTAAACATCAGAAGAATGATAAAATTGGAAAATCAATATTTTGCAACATCCAATGAAATCGGGGCAATAATGACTGCTAAAACTATTAAGTGAAAGACTGAAACATTCACATAAAAGTATCAAGATGACAATACCTGAACCCACTAACCAATGCTTTCACTAGAGTGAGACAAATGGACACAATATTGATGCATCAAGAAGTGCACAGCACCACCTATGAAGTATTCTTGCCTCAAAAAAAAAAAAAGGAACCTGAATTTAATCAACCCCACTAGATGTACCTACTAGGTTACAGGAAATAAGAGGTACTGTTAAGTGACCCCCATGAAGACAATCATCCAAATAAAAAATGTGGGAAATTCTATTTTAAAAAAATGGCCCATCCAGTTTCTATAATAAATAAATGGTACTGGGGGGAAAAAGTGGGGAAGGGAAATTTTTATAGATGAAAAGTATCTTAAAAGGCACAAACAAATTCTATGTGGACTTTGGATTCTAATTCAAACATACCGAAGGTAAAATGCCATTTTTGAGAAATATCTATTATGGCATTGAATAAGAGCATCTGGTTTTATTAATTTTATGGGATATTATAATAATATAATCTTATTTTTTAAAGTCCTATTTTTAAAAAAAACACATACTGAAGTATTTACAGAAAACATGATAATGTCCTCTGGGATTGATTTCAAACATTCAACAGAAAATGGTGAGGGTGAGAGTGCGGGTGACAGTGGGAGAACAGATGAAACGAGAATGACAGAATGTTGACAGCTGTTCAGACTGGATGTTAGGTGCATGAGAGTTCATTACTCTATTCTACTTTAGTATATGTTTGAAATTTTCCGTAATAAAAAGTCAAAAAAAGAGACCTTGTTTAGCAACCTCAAGAATCTCATGAGCTCAATTTTCCACAATGTAAAGTTTAAAATCACCAGAGTTTACCTCTGGGATCCTTTACTGTGCTATGAGTTCTGATGTAGTAAGAGTTACGGATGAGGAGATCAGTAAATTTCAAATAATTTCTTTTGGGTTGATTTTTTCTTCTTAAATTCTGCCAGAGACAAATGTTCTGGGATAGATGGAAAGAGAAATGATATATATGGCATTTTAAAATACAGGTATAAAAGTTACTATCACTAGTAATAAGACATATCAACATCATGTATCTTCTTGATACAATAAATTGAGAAAGTAGTGCTCGCTTCGGCAGCACAAATACTAAAATTTGGAGAAAGCATACTATCACTTCTCTGATATTTCTAACCCCAAATGTACAACTTCAATCTATTAATAGAAACACGTGAGAAAACTCAAATTGAGCAGCACTGTATAAAATAACGAGTCCATATTTTTCAGAAGTGCCATGCTCATTAAAGAAATACTGAAGAACTATGTAATGCAATGTAGAATCCTGCATTGGACCCTGTATCAAACCAAGAACATTAAGTAGGAAAACGGGTAAAATTTGAATAAGGTCTATAGATTAACATTATTGCATGAATGTTAATTTCCTGGTGTTGATAACTGCATTATGGTTATATAAAGATGTTAACGTTAGGGAAACCTAAGTAAAGGGTATATGAGAACTCTGTAATTTTCTACAGAAAACATTTCTCTAAGTCTAAAACTGTTTCAAAGTAGAAAATTAAAAATACATATATGATCAAGAAAGAAGTTCTGTAGTTCACATGGGCATTACTAGACAATGTTGTGATTGCCTAAAATCTAGAATATTACAATGTTGGCCAAATAGTAAAAGGCAAAGGCAGTGCCTCCCAACCTATGTTCCCTAAATGCAGGTGCAGGGGTTCTTAGTGTTTCACTAGGGGAGTAGCTTACCTCGCTCTGAGTCAGAGCGATCTGAAGAAATCGTTGATCCAATGCTGTCCATTCGTATTCGTTCCATCTCCTGAGGACCCTGCAGCTGTTCCAGTCGCCGCTTTAAAAATCTCTGTTCTCTTTCCAAGTTTTCTAGCTGGTGCTGGCTCTTCCTTTCAGCTTCTTCAAGTTTCTAAAATGATATTTAACTTTGTGTATAATCCAGTACAAACATTAAAACTGATTTTTACCTAACATCTCAAAAGATTTCTTTGTTAGACATGAATGAATATACTACAAATACGTGTGTGTGTGTGTGTGTGTGTGTGTGTGTGTGTGTGTGTGTGTGTTTTAAAACACATAGTTACATCAAAAATTGTTATTTCTTTACTTTTTGTTTTTTTGGAAGGGGGTGTGTAATGCATGCCACATTTACTAGAACAGTATGCAATTCTCAAAGTCTGTGAAGTTATCTCCACGAAAGAGAAACTGGCTCTGCAGTGTAGTTTGATGGAAAAATACTGAGAGACAGTCAAATGAAGTCATCTCCACCAGAGGGCACAACTGCCTTCTTTCTGGGTATCACCAGACTTATTATTTTCCTAACTGTTCCCAGCTCCTCCAACGGCCATGCTGTCAAAACAATTATTTTAATCAGGTTATGTTGCTTCTTCCCATCAGATTAGCTGATAGAATTTTAGATTTCTCTGGATTCAGTTATTAAGGAGGGCATGGTGAGCTAGTTGGTGTGTATGAAATAGGAATCACTGCTTCTAATAAAACCAGGACCAAGAGAATCATGTGCAAATATGAAAGGAAAGGTTCTCACCTTGATGTGTGCTTTGGCTTTGTTGAGCAAACCAAGTGTTGTGTGCCTGGTGCAGTCTGGTCCTAGTGGAATCAGAACTTTTAAGCGTTCTAAACATAGGCGCAGATGAGCTCGTCTGAGAAACAGAAAAGTCAAATAAGCACAGTCTGAATAGTCTACTAGAAACATCCTAAAAGCTATTTTTAGACAAATAATAATTTGTACATTATTCACTCTATAACCATGTTACACCCCTATTCCCTATCTGCAAGTGCAGATATGCCTACTGATTTTCAACCTGCCACTTGTACTCTACAGCGACTGGCCACTTCAGATTATTATCCCCAGTGGTAATCTCTGTCAGAGATTATTTCATTTTAGCCTGCCCATAAACTATCTCAACTGTATTAATGTAATGTGGAAGTAGGAAAGCATACTAGGGAAACTGTATTTGATTCTGAATAACTAAAACTGAAGGCTAAAATAGGGATTTTCAGCTAGGGTAACCCAAGGATGCTCATAGATTTCCATATCCTCTCTTCCACTTTACACACACACACACACACACACACACACACACACACACACAGCTGTTCTACAGTGTTATATATTATTATCATTGAACTATATAAAACTTCTGATATTCAACCATTTCTTAATTATAAAAACAATTTCATATGATCCAGCACAATAGAAACAGCAAAATCCTGTGACCAGCAAGGATAGGGTTAGGCAAAATATACGGCTCTGTGGTCAATTCTAATCACTGAAACCACAACCTATAAAACAGTTCCTTGCTTCCTAATATCTAAGCATACCGGGTCATTGGCTGTTTTTTAAAGATAATCCTGTTTAAAGTATGTTTTTATTGATTTCTTTTTAGAGAGAGAGAGGAATGGAGAGGGATAGAGATATAGAAACATTGATGAGAGAACATCATCCATTGGCTGCCTACTGCATGCTCCCTACTGGGGATCAAGCCCACAACCCGGGCATGTGCCGTAACTGGGAATCAAACTGGCAACCTCTTGGTTCCTAGATCGATGCTTAACTGCTGAGCCACGCTGGCTAGGCACTCATTAGTTTTTCATTTTATTTCTGTCTCTGTCCCTCTTCTTTTATTACCCACCTGCAATTTTCTACATACGGGGAAAAGCCAGGTGAAAAATGCTTTACTAAAAGTCATTTGCATTCTTTAATCCACCTATCCCATGAGGGCAAATTACAGGAAATTTCTCCTGGAAATGCTAGCAACCAACCTTATGAATTTACCTTCCGTGTACCCTAAAGGAACTATGATCACCATGATGAGAGTTCTGGACACATATTTCCACACTAAAATAATACTAGTCCATATCTTTGGTCCTGTATTACATAAGGCATAATGTAATTCAGCAGTTAATCATATATCTGGAAAGAAAATTCACAAATGTGTTCATGGTTTATCCCTATTCCTTAAAGAGCTATAATTGAACAACTGTCTCAACTGTACCAGGAACAAAACACATCTTCCATTTTCTCCTCAAAGAAGGCCAAAAATGGTTTTATTAGCATACTCACCAAGCTATGCTTTATCTTAATACACATGAAATAATCGTCAAGTGAAATTCCAAATGCTAGGAAATCCGTAAGAGGGGTAGGCAAGCAAGGATGATTAGAGGTAGTAAGGTCAGAGACTTGGCTGATGAATTAAGAACCTTCCAATACCCACTAGCTCAGCTAAGAAAGTCTGTTAGTATTTCCATTCCAAATCTCTCTCCTGAGTTCAATAACTCAAATCTAATAAATTAGTTCCAGGCTGAAGCCTGGCATACCTGATGTGGATAAGATACTTCCCTCCCACCCCAAATCAATGGATACCCCTTAATGTGATTTAATAATTAAAAAGTCACTCTCTCCCCAAATCACAGAGCCTTTAATAAAGTTTTCATTTTTAACTGGAAAACCTCATCGGCGAGGTCTTTTACATGATCACAGAGTGTTCTTGCTGAGCAGACTAAAAACAAAACAAAATCCACAGTTAAAAAAAAAAAAAAAAGCCTTTAATCTCTTCATTAGGATCATTATAGCACAGGCCTAACAACTGCACACATGATATGACGTTGGAGAGACTGGTGGTTCTTTTACTCATAACTAGAGGCTCCCAACAGGGAGCTCTGAATGAATCATGTAAATAAGTCTGCAAAGAAACTAACCAGTAAAGTTAACAATTATGTTGCCATAAAAATAACTTGCCAATTTTATTTAAATTCCTTTAAACAAGAAATCCACTGTATATATAGGAAATACCTTAGAAATTCAGTGTACATATTGGAAAAATAACTTCAGAATGATTTTTTACGTCAAAAGGAAAAATTGGGTGGGTCAATGTTCTATTTTATGGGACATAAGTAAAAGTCGTATTAAAATCTGGACAGAAATCAACTACTATAATATTAATATGTTTATGTTTTCTATCTCTTTTTTAATTATTCAGTTGTATATTTATTACATGACTTTTGTATAATCAGCAATAATCCAGACACTTGCTTAGGTGGAAGATGTAAAAAAAAAAAAATGTAAACTTTTAAGAGTGTAAAATCTAGACTACAGAACAAAATATATTGCTTTGTTTCATTTGGTTCATAACAAGGTAAGTCATACAGATAGCAAGGGCAACAGAAACTGAATAAAAGGAGAGACTGTAATTGGAGAAGGTAGACTTATAAAAGGTTGAAACTTGACTTTGGACTTTAGGAATATTGAATTTGTCTATGAAAAAGCAGGGATTTTCAAGAGAATTAAAAGAGTAAAGGAAATAATTTATATATTGAGATCAAATTGAATCCTAAAATTAAAAATACCTTAGTTTTTTTCATTCAAGGAAAAAAAACTGAAGTAGAATTCTATTTTAAAAAAAGTATAAGCCAAGTTCAGTCTGGCGATCTACAATAGTGCAGTCACATCAGAGATGGACAAGCCAAGGGAGTCAAGGTGTAAGTACTGCCTAAATGAACAGGGAAGGCACACTGTCCCCTCAAATATTTGTTATTAGCCACTACTGACCATTCCTTCAGTCAAAAACGTAATTACAAGTGCACTCTGAGATTTAGCTTACACCAAGAAAACATGTCCTGATACCATGTCTCATCAAGGCTAATGGTATCATTTTTAAATATATATATATATATATATATATTATTGATTTTTTACAGAGAGGAAGAGAGAGGATAGAGAAATAGAAACATGGATGAGAGAGAAACATCAATCAGCTGCCTCTTGCACACCCCCTACTGGGGATGTGCCCGCAACCAAGGTATAATACATTCCCTTGACTGGACTCAAACTTGGGACCCTTTAGTCCACATGCCGACGCTCTATCCACTGAGCCAAACTGGTCAGGGCGTGGTATCATTTTCTATGTTTTACAAATACAGTTCTTCAAAATAGATAATGGTGTAAAGGATGAGAGGCGAATCGTGTCCTCTCTCTCCTGTGGGAAGAAGTGTATCTGTGGGAGCCAAATGCCATTTCTTAGTTTTCGTATTTGTAACAATCAGGCATTTGGAGAGTAGAATGACAAAGGGTAAACAGCAGCTACAGGACAGCAGCCAACCAAGGGGGAGCCACACTTTTCCAAGTTGCCATCCCAATACTGCACACAGTTGTCCACATGTGCCTGCTGCAATGCCACGTTTAGGTGCACACTTCTGAGAGCGATGGACACCTTGTGACTGTAAACTACCTGGCACAATTCTTCCTCCCTTACAATGGTGCTGGGCTCCGCTCCACCCTTTCTCCCACAGTCTCCCTGCTGGTAACCAGATTGCAAGCTTAACCACCAACGACCTAGAAAGGCGTATCTTTTGATGCCATCTGGTCCTTTCTTTTCTTGCCTTCATTCTCATGTGACTGGTGGCTCAGGAGCCTCCTGTGTGTGCCTGACAAATCATGGGCTGTATGATACTGGAGGAAGAAAAGAGGACAAGAGACAGAAGGAAAAAAAAAAAAAAAAGCTTGGTTTGATTTGAAAATCCTTACGCACGGAGAAAAAAAATTGCAAGTATCATAAAGATGATGTTTTTCACGTCCCCAGGGAGTGGAAGAGCCGGCAGACAACAAGGATTCTTAACAGGTACAATCCTGCACTTTTAATCAAAGTAGGGTAAGAAGGCTGGGGAAAGTTAAGGCTTTTGTGCTGACTGTACTGATGAACACTAGACTAGCAACCAATAAAAAAAAAATCCTGACAGTGTAAAATTTATGAAACTAGACTTGATCAAAACTGAGGGGAAAAAAATTATCTCCCTGGTTAGCATTTACTTAACTTCTCCCAACACATGGAGGGCATAACAAAAATTAAATTAGGAAAGATTTTAGTTTCGTAGTTTTTGTTATGCTATCCATGTGTTGTGGAAAGTTAAAGTAAATGCTAACCAGGGAGCACAGTTAGGATTAGACACTGCAGCAGGAAGTGCCCTATGAGAAAACTGAAGTTCCCTTGCTGAGAGGGAGGGAGGAAGACAACGGAGAGACATAAAAGTACTTTTATTTTCAAAGATGCTTTGAGGTCTATTTTAAAATGACATTTAAAAGCAGGTTTTACCCAGGGGAAGGGCAATTCTCAGTGCCTAACCCTGTTAGACAGAAGGTCCTATCAAAATTTACCCACACCTTCGAAAAGGGCAAGCCCCTTGTGGGGAAAGGAACAATCAGAGTCTGTTTGGCTCTTATTTTGGTAGATTGGGATCATTTTTCTCTGAAGGAACCAATTGCTGCAGTTGATTTCAAGCCTTGTAAATCTACTGCAAAACTGAAATATCACAGAATGCGAGGGGAAATGGTTTTGCTATTGAATGGCCCCTCCTAGTTAGCTGTGATATTTTGAAGCATAGGTAGGTATCAACCGCAAGAAGCAAACAGTGTTGAAGGAGAAGAATTCCCTTTCAGGAAAAGATTGCAAGTTACCATCCGATGGTGTTTTTTTCAAGTCGCCTCTGGAAAACTCTAATCCCTCTGCCCAACAATAAGAAATTTAACGAGCCTGCCCAGCCTCACAAACCATCCACTGGCTGATGCCCTTGAAGGCACGGTCTTTCGTTGGAACTTCTCTTTCATCCCTCCACTACGGGATACCAAGACTTTGCCAAGTAACTA